ATTCCATCCCTATCTGCCACGCGTGTGGAGGAATATCTCACAACAGGGCACCAGCCATCCTATCTCTCTTCCTAACACCCCTCCCCCTCCCTGCTCCCATCCCTGCGCGTACTTCTCTCCCTCGCGTCTGTTATTTTGGGGGCAATCGGCCAGCTCCTGCTTCAAGCAACTTCAACTTTCCCCATCAGCTGTCCCACCTCATGGAGTAGAGCGATCTCTTGTCCTCGTCTTTCACCCTCCCCCATATATACCAGAGAGTGAGGCTTTCGTTTCGACACCTCGAACGGAATGTCTCACCCAGAGAATGAGCACGTCTCGGCGGAGACATCCCCGAACGACGTTGAATTGACAGCAATGGACGGAGCAAGAACGTCCTCAGCAGAGCAGCGCAAGTCAAGCGGCCAGTCGTCAATCACCAGTACGACAATGGTTCCTGCAGGAGAAAAGGGCCCAGCGTCTCAGCCATCTACTGGCAACCAGCTAGCCCGAGCAGATGATTCAGATGCGCTGTATGCGCATCTTCCCGAGCACGAGAAACAGATCTTGAAGATGCAGTTGGACGCGGATGATGTGAATGTTTCCTTCTTTGGTCTGTTTCGCTATGCTTCCCGAATGGATCTTGCGATTATGTTCGTGAGCGCAATCTGTGCCATTGTCGCAGGCGCTGCGTTGCCTCTTTTTACAGTGAGTGCCTATCTATGACGCCAGTTAATAACCATTTAGTTCATAGACTGACTTCGACCTAGATCCTCTTCGGTTCCTTGGCCTCAGCTTTCCGAGGCATAGCCTTGTATGAGATTACGTACCACGACTTTTATCACCAGTTAACGAAAAATGTTCTCTATTTTGTTTATCTCGGTATTGCAGAGTTCGTCACCGTATACATCTCCACTGTCGGCTTCATCTACACTGGTGAACATGTCACCCAAAAGATTCGCGAACACTACCTTGAGTCGATCTTGAGACAAAACATGGGTTACTTCGACAAGCTGGGTGCCGGTGAAGTGACTACGCGCATTACGGCCGACACGAACCTCATTCAAGACGGTGTCTCGGAAAAGGTTGGACTGACATTGACCGCCATCGCCACGTTTGTCACTGCTTTTATTGTCGCTTATATCAAATACTGGAAGCTGGCCCTGATTTGCACTTCGACCATTGTGGCGTTGGTTCTGCTCATGGGAGGTGGTTCTCGGTTTATTGTCAAGAACAGCAAGCAGGCTCTGCAGAGCGCCGGTGCCGGTGGTACAGTAGCAGAGGAAGTTATCAGCTCCATCCGCAATGCAACTGCTTTCGGAACTCAGGACAAGCTCGCAAAGCAATATGAAACCCACTTGGCCGAGGCTGAGAAATGGGGTATCAAGACCCAAGTGACCCTTGGTTTCATGATTGGTGGCATGTTCGGTATTATGTTCTCCAACTATGGCCTTGGCTTCTGGATGGGCTCCCGCTTCCTCACAGACGGTGAGGTTAATGTTGGCCAGGTCCTGACTGTGTTGATGGCTATCCTGATCGGTTCGTTCAGTCTGGGTAACGTCAGCCCTAACGCTCAAGCATTCACCAACGCTGTCGCCGCCGCTGTCAAGATCTACGGTACAATTGACCGCCCCTCGCCCCTGGATCCTTATTCCGAAGAAGGTGAGAAGCTTGAGCATTTCGAGGGCAACATTGAGTTTCGTGACATCAAGCACATCTACCCTTCGCGACCAGAAGTCACTGTCATGGATGGTGTTTCTCTTAGCATGCCTGCCGGAAAGACGACTGCCTTGGTGGGCCCGTCCGGCTCTGGAAAGAGTACCGTTGTCGGACTCGTTGAGCGCTTCTATTTCCCCGTAGGTGGCTCTGTTCTGTTGGACGGCCATGATATCTCGACTCTCAACCTTCGTTGGCTGCGTCAGCAAATTTCGCTGGTCAGCCAAGAACCTGTTCTCTTCGGCACTACGATCTATCACAACATCCGTTATGGTCTCATTGGAACCAAGTTCGAGCAAGAATCCGAGGAAAAGATCCGAGAGCTGATCGAGAATGCGGCTAGAATGGCCAATGCGCATGATTTCATCACGGCACTTCCCGAAGGATATGAGACCAACGTTGGTCAGCGCGGCTTTCTGCTTTCCGGTGGACAGAAGCAGCGTATCGCCATCGCGCGTGCCATCGTAAGCGATCCCAAGATTCTTCTCCTCGATGAAGCCACGTCTGCATTGGATACGAAATCCGAGGGCGTCGTACAAGCAGCACTGGACCGAGCTGCTGAAGGTCGAACCACTATCGTGATTGCCCACCGCTTGTCCACTATCAAGACGGCGCACAACATCGTTGTCATGGTGAATGGCAAGATTGTAGAGCAAGGAAACCACAACGAGCTTGTCGGCCGTAAGGGTACCTACCACAGTCTTGTTGAGGCCCAGCGTATCAACGAGGAAAAGGACGCGGAAGCCCTGGCTGCCGACGAGGATGTGGATGAGGAAGATTTCTCCAAACAGGAAATTGCGCGCATCAAGTCAGCTAGCAGCGGGTCTGGCTCTCTCGATGATGAGGATGAGAAGTCCCTCGCCGGGAACGGACTCAACCGCAGTGGAACGCACAAGTCCATCTCCAGCGCCATTCTTTCTAAGCGGGAGCCCGAGGTGGCTCGGAAGTACTCCCTTTGGACGTTGGTCAAATTTATCGCCTCTTTCAATCGCCCTGAGCTCAAGTATATGCTCATTGGCTTGGTCTTCGCCGTCCTTTCCGGTGGTGGCCAGCCGACTCAGGCTGTGCTCTACGCCAAAGCTATCAGTACACTTTCCTTGCCTACTAGCGAGGCCGCCAAAATCCGTCACGATGGGGCTTTTTGGGCTCTGATGTTCTTCGTTGTCGGAATTGCTCAGTTCATCAATCTTTCCATCAATGGTGCCGCATTTGCCGTCTGCTCAGAGCGACTGATTCGCCGCGCCCGTAGCATGGCCTTTAGGTCGATTCTTCGCCAGGATATTACCTTCTTCGACCGAGAGGAAAACAGCACTGGTGCGCTCACATCTTTCCTTTCGACGGAGACTAAGCATCTGTCTGGTGTCAGTGGTGCGACCTTGGGAACTATTCTCATGACCAGCACTACTCTTGGCGCAGCTATGATCATCTCTCTATCTATCGGATGGAAACTGGCTCTGGTTTGTATCTCTGTGGTCCCTGTCCTTCTGGGTTGTGGTTTCTACCGCTTCTACATGCTTGCAAGATTCCAACAACGATCCAAGACTGCCTATGAGGGTTCTGCAAGCTATGCTTGCGAGGCGACATCTGCTATTCGCACTGTCGCATCCCTTACTCGGGAGCAGGATGTCTGGGCAATGTACCATTCTCAGCTGGAGGACCAAGGCCGGAAGAGTTTGATATCCGTGCTGAAGTCTTCTATCCTCTATGCATGCTCGCAAGCTCTTGTTTTCTTCTGTGTTGCACTCGGCTTCTGGTATGGAGGTACTCTCCTTGGCCATCACGAGTACTCAGTCTTTCGCTTTTTCGTCTGCTTCTCCGAAATTCTGTTTGGCGCCCAGTCCGCTGGTACTGTCTTCTCCTTCTCTCCTGACATGGGCAAGGCGAAGAACGCTGCAGCTGAGTTCCGGAGACTTTTTGACCGGAAGCCAGAGATTGACACATGGTCCGAAGAGGGCGAGCAGCTCGAATCTGTGGAAGGAGAGATTGAGTTCAAGAATGTGCACTTCCGGTACCCTACCCGGGCCGAGCAGCCTGTCCTGCGAGGCCTGAACCTGACCGTCAAGCCTGGACAATATATTGCCCTCGTCGGGCCTAGTGGATGTGGCAAGAGTACGACAATTGCGCTCCTCGAGCGCTTCTACGATGCCATTTCTGGCAAGGTTCTTATTGATGGAAAGGATATCACTCAGATCAATGTGAACTCATACCGCAGTTTCTTGTCGCTCGTCAGTCAGGAACCCACCCTGTACCAAGGCACTATCAAGGAGAACATTTTGTTGGGAGTCCGCGAAGATGTGACGGAGGAGCAACTTGTGAAGGCTTGCAAGGATGCCAACATTTATGACTTTATCATGTCCCTGCCGTAAGTTCAACCCTTTGTTTTCCGGAAAGGATTTGGCGCTAACAACCATTCCAGTGAGGGTTTCAATACCGTTGTTGGTAGCAAAGGAGGCATGCTGTCCGGAGGTCAGAAGCAGCGTGTGGCGATCGCACGCGCCTTGATCCGGGATCCCCGAGTGCTTCTTCTGGATGAAGCCACCTCTGCTCTCGATTCCGAGTCCGAAAAGGTTGTCCAAGCTGCATTGGATGCTGCGGCTAAGGGCCGAACCACGATCGCCGTCGCACATCGTCTGAGTACGATTCAGAAGGCCGATATCATCTATGTTTTCGACCAGGGGAAGATTGTCGAAAGCGGAACCCACCAAGAACTGATCCGGATAAAAGGCCGTTATTACGAGCTGGTTAATTTGCAGAGCCTGGACGGTGGCCACTAATATTTATTGCATCCTGTTTAGATCTCTCCTGTCTGTTTGCTTTGCTTATACCCCCCCTTATACTTGCGATTATCTCTCATCTCTATTTATTCTGTAATGTGTTATGATCTCTTCTCAAAAGCCATGTCTGGTGTTGGCTCTGGTGGTCACTCCGTGTTTTTTGTTACTTCTTAAGCTGCATTCATCGGCTTGGAGTGGGCGGGCATTCTGCTTGCTTAGAATGGAAAATCTCACGACTGTACTTTAGTTTTGAGGGCAACTTTCATTTCTATCATCAGCTGGAGTATATAAAAGTAGTAGCATTGCATGACAGCTTCGAGTTATTTTGATCACATATTCAGATGGCTTCTGATTCTACTGATGTAGCAGTCTGTATTCATACTAAGAAGATTACCCCTCGCCATTCATAGACGCCCAGCCATAAACCCATGATCAAACCTGTTTACCCGTTCCTGAACTCCGCAAGAAGCGACAACTAATACCCTGGATGCCTGCATCAATCGCTAAACCCCATCAATCAACACCCTAATGAAATCAGTCCCGATCATCTAACCCATACTCCCTCTGCACATCCACCTGCCGTACACCACGAGCATCTGCAATCAGACCCATCAACCCCTGCGCGATATCTTTGATTTCATTGTACTCATGGAGAAGACAAATGTGTCTTTTGACCGTCGTGGATGGGTCCATTCTAGATTTGGTGTCAATAAGTGAGATTACCGGTTGATTGATGGACTGGTTATGTGCTTGGTTTCATACTTCAATTTGGCCTTGGTCTGTTCTATTTGCGATTCTGTTTCTGTGATTTGAGATTGTAGACTGGCGATGGATGCGCGGAGGGTGGACTAGGCTTTTTCATTAGTTGGATGTTGCTACTTGTGGGGAGAGGAGATATAGTCACCAGCTTCTTGTCTTTTTGGGTCTGGATTTGCTCGTCACTAGCTGGGGTTGTAGTGGAGGAGGTGGCTTGCTGGGGTGGCATGATGGTCTTCTCCATAAGTTGAAACCGGGCTGTTATGTTAGAGGGAATAACCAATGTAACAGGATAGCCTTGGCAATGATTCAGAGAGCTAGCTGCCTTGACTGCCTGGTGTGGGGAGAGAATAGCGTATTTTTTGTAGATATAAGTAGAGTGAGTACGTAGGCCTGGATGGGGCCCGTCTCTTCTATGCCGTCCGATCTGCAGTTTCACAGATAATTCGGAATCCACTGTCAATTGATGATGAAAATCTTTCACCACGGGGTTTGGTGTATTTTTGTTGATTATTCTAGAAGATTAGATTAGCAATGGCGATGAGCTGAATGGTTTACTATTCTTAACGAATTAGTAGTGCTTTTGTTGTAGTAGGTAAGTAAGTACTAGAGTAGTATACTACGTACTGACTGCCTGGTAATTGTGGCCATACAACGCTGGGCGACCAATCCGCTTCGCCCGATTTCGCGGCTCCCTTAATAACGAAGGCCGAATAGGGAACCGAACTCCCGCCTCCGCCTCCATCAATAATCCTCATCCTCAATCGTCTGACTCTCTCTCTCTCCCTTTCTCCCCCTCCCTCCCCTCTTCTTCTTCACTCTTTCTCTCCTCGCAAAAGGGTGAAGTTGATCATGGCGATATCGAGTCGATTTGGGCCCCAAGGGTTGCTAGCAGTCTTACTGCTTGCTTCCCCGGCTCTGGCCCATGGGGGCCATGAGAGTGTCCCCGAGGGTGCCGCCATCTCCGAGGATCCGATTGTATGTTGTCGCACCTGTCTGCGATCGCAGCGGTCTCAATCATATACTGACTAGTCGCCTAGGACACAACACTATGGATACACATGATTCTTATGGGTTTCGCCTTTGGCATTATTTTCCCCTTGGGCATGGTTCTTGGGGTAAGCTGGCCCTGTTACATCCTATCTCCGGCCTTCCGCGGTCGGGGATATCTGGTTGCATGATTACATGAGGTTCATATCTGACACTTCCGCTTTACGATCGCAGATTGTACGCTCGCGCTGGCACGTCCCTCTCCAGATTGTCGGAACGATCATCGCTGTGCTCGCATACTTCCTCGGACATGCTCATAAAGGTCGCCAGTTCTCGAAGAACGTCCACGCGTCCTTTGCGAACACACTGATGCTCATGATGGTGGTGCAGATCGTCCTCGGCGTCTATCTCAAGCTGCATCTTTCCAAGGGAATTCATGGCCGGATCCGCCGGGTTATTGTGATTGCGCATGGAGTGGTCGGAAAGGCGATGCCTGTGGCGAGTTGGGTCCAGATGCTCTTCGGAGGAATCACCGCCATGGGATTCTGTCGCGATGATCACTTGGGACAGTGTCTGGCCCATTTCATTATGGGTAGCGCTTTCATCGCCTACGGTATCCTGCTGACCATCCTTCTTCTCGTCGGTCAGTACTGGCTGCGCCGCACTGGCCGCAGCCAGGAGTTCTTCGACTCGTTGATTATCGCTGCATGGGGATGTGTCAACACCTTCACGGAACACCGCTGGGGAGGTCCCTGGGTCCACAATGATTTGCAGCACACCACTATGGGTGTCGTCTGGTGGTGCGCCGGTCTACTGGGTATCTGGATGAGCCGGAAGCGCAACGGCCGGCCCAAGCGGAACTTGATCCCAGCCATTGTTATTCTCCTCACTGGTTATGCTATGTCTGCCCATCCGCAGACTCTGATGATCAGCACCATGATTCACAGTATCTTCGGCTACACCTTGATGGCTGCTGGTTTCACTAGAATCGTCGAGATCTCCTTCGTGCTTCGGGACAAGGGCAGTGTCAGCCCCGACGGATCCGACCCTAACAGCTTCCAATATCTCACGCCTTTCGTAAGTCTTCCACAGCCCTCTGGCTGAAGGGTATCGTCGTTCTAATATATCGCAGCTTCTATACGCCTCAGGCTTCCTCTTCATGGGCGCCACCGAGGAGCAGATGCAACTTTTGAACGATGCAGGCATCACCCACGTATCCTACGTCCTCATCCTTTACAGCATCGCCTTCATCCTCTTCCTATGTAAGAAGCCCCCCTTCCCCCCTAAAACCAAGGGATTACACTAACCCACTGAACACAGTCGTCAACGTACTCCTCCACATCTACGCCGTCCACGCATGGCCCGAATCCGCACAAGCGCCTTCGCACTCGCGCTCCTCCAGCGCCGCAGATGCCGGCGAGGGCTCATCCCGCTACAGACCCACCGCTAACGGCCGCCTCATGAACGGCCATGCCCGCTCCCCCTCGGAAGCACAGCACCTGCACGACGCGGAGGAATTCGAACTCCAAGGCCTTATCTCCGACGAGGAGGATGACGCCAAGGACACCCACGCCATGGGTCCGAGGAAGACTGAAGACGAGGAGAATTCTCCTTTGGTTGCTAATGGGACGGCTGCTACGACGCATTAATTTGGCTCCTTAGAGTGTGCATTGGGTGTTTCTTACATATTCTTCTTATTTTTTCTTTTTCAAAAGATCGTTGAGATATCGGATATATTAGTTCCTTTTTTCTTTTTCTTTTTCTTCTTTGGGTTCGTATCGTATACAGATATTTCTGTATTACGTAGTGTTCTAGCTCGCTGTAGCTACGGGGCTTGGCGTTGATATTGATTAGGATTGGTTTTAAGATGTTTGTGCATGATTAGGCTTGAATTATAAGCTGATACCATGATTTTCTATTCAGTGTTATGTTCATCAATTCCTAACACTAATGCGAGTGACCTATTCATGGCGAGAAATAAGAAAGAAATCTAGATGGCTTATTTTGAGTAATTCCCCCGGAAGATATCGAAATCGTGTTATCAGATCTATCGTACACGTCGTAAGCGGATCCCCCCATCAAGCAGGGATGCCCATATGCAAAAAGGAAGAAATAAAAAAAGGTCGAGACGCAATACTCCTCATCGAGTAGACTGCCGTCTACGACTTAGCGGGAGGGCATTTGAAGTGCTGGGGCTGGCTCGCCATCCAACGGGATAGCCTGAACAACTGGAACCACGGGTGGAACGGCGTTCTCAACTTCCGGAGGGAAGAATGGATGTAAGGGGTAGATGGGAGCGGCGGAGCGTTCTCCATCGAAGAGAAGCATGTTCTGGAGGGGGTGTTCTCGTGCGCTCAAGACGTTGATCACGTCCTGGGCGAGATAGCCGCCTACACATGCGGCTACAGGGCTCAGTTCACTTCCCAGGTTCTGGAGGAAAGTGCGCAGGAACCCGGCGTCCAGGGTAGTGATGTCGAGCTTGAGTTCCTGGTGACAGTCGCGAGCGTGCTTCGTGAAGAGTTCCAGGTCTTGGTGGGAGAATGTGGGCAGGGCGCCGCCGGATGATTTCTGATATTCCCATAATGCGCGGAGACAGGTGAGGAGAGGTGTTACTTGTTTGCGCTTGCGTGCGATGCGGGTGAACTCCTCGGGAAGTGGCGAGGTGTTGGCGAGGATCAGCGGGGAATACACTTCGCGCTTGGTCACCATTTCGATGACCTTCTCGTTCTCTTTCTTTGTGGTGATGTTTAGGATACTGCGGGTCGGGGTTTCCTGCGTGGCGGATGGGACGTTGGACTTGGTCCGCTCAATGACGAAATCGTGCGAGATCAGATCGGCGAACATGAAGCCGTAAAATCCGTGCAGTCCGGCGGCATAGAAGGGACGGTTTGCGATGCGACAGGCCGCATTGATGGTGGTGTATGTAGCAAAGTCAAGCTCGGTTGCGATGGTGATATCGAATTGGGCGAAGAAGTCGGGCTGTTTGAGGTGGATGTCTTCTGTGTCAATGTGAAGCTGAACACGCGGGTTCATGGCGCGGACAGAGGGCGCTGCCGCTTGCGCGCGCTGCGTTGCGATCAGTACATGGACAAAGCTTGCTAGGAATAGAACAGCGCACGTTTTGACCCAAATGTTCCTGATTTATGAAGAACTGCGCGCCCAAGTCCTCTTCTGTCACCACCTCATGATCAACGATGGTCAAGGAGCCAATGCCTGCCAATACTAGATTCTTCGCAACTTCGTTCGCCAGCGCCTTAAACGTGATGAGGAGGATGTTCGCGGATCGGAGTCTATAGAGAAGTTACCGTCAGCTTGATCGGGTTGGTAGGCATTGTAGTTAGTTGGGAGAGCTCACTTTTCCTGTGCTTTAACTCCCCAGAGGCGGATCTGGCGATCATACAGAGCTATCTCGTCTATTGCGTTCCATGCACAAGTCAAACGTCGGTTTCCATTGGATAGTAGATTTTTATCGGAGATGAGATAATCTTCTTACCAGCGCTGATAGTCTGAGCTGGATCGGGCTGTGGCTCCATTGCGACTGTTCGCGAAAGCTTTCTTTCTGGTCTATGTCGAAGTGCCGGAGAAGAGTGAGGGGAAAGAAGTATGGGACACAAGACGGCGAATGGAAAGTAGCGGATAAAGGCGGATCGGCCAGCAGTTGTGGGACTTGCATGTATCTTCGCCGTTGGCAACGGGGTCTTCTTGAAACCGGTATCGGGTGAACGAGTGATTGTACATATACGAAGAGAGTGAAAGAAGGGAAGCGGAGAGTAGTAATAGGCAGGAGGAGAGCTTACCCCAGCATCATCACGTGCATGGGCCATTGAATGAATGCTTTGGGGAAATCAACCAAATCAACTTATCATTTCACCCCCTCATCAATCATTCCCCCAAACTCCCATCATCTCGCCTCCTTCTTACCACCCATTCATCGGCCTTCATTTCTTGTTCGAGGCCTTTTCCATGTCACCACTGTGGCATTTTAGTGCCTCCCTCTCGTCTGCTTAGCTGCTTTTCTTAATCGTGTCCCTCGTCATTGCCTCATAATCGCGGTATAGTTAGTTACTCGGCTTCCGCTCCCGCTTCCGCTCGCTCACTGCCTCTCCCTCCCGGTGCTCCGAGCCAACTCCCACTGATCACGGAACAACTCACTCTCACAGGATGGTACGTTTGTGAATCTAGCCTTCCCTCCGCTACCAATAGAAACCTTACACGGCCTAAGCATCCACATCCCACCCCGCTTTGCTGCAGCTATTGACTAGCATGTACCACTGTAGTCGGGAAATTACGACTATCCTCCTGCCTCTCGCCGTCCTTCTCGTGGAGCTCGAGCCAATGAGCGACAACAACAGCAGCAACAGCAGCAGCCTCCGCTGAATCGTTTACAGCATCTCCGGGAGCTATTAACATCGGAGCGTAACCGCGGTGACCTCGCCTTCGCCCGTGCTGTGGAGACTTTAAACCAAGAGATGGACGATTACCGCTCTTCTCGCTTCTGGGACCGTTCTAGCTTTGAGCAAGCCAGGGCAGCCCTCGACCAACATATGCAACAGCTCCAGGAACGAACGAGACAAAGCCGTGCCAATACGGGCAGCTCAGGGCCCCCGGTGCGTCCGCGTCCAGGAGTACCAAGACTGCAGCCTTTGGGTGTTCCAGTGGCGAACCCAGACGAAAGCGCTTCCGATCCCTCACGTTCTGATAGCAGAACTCCAAGGCCCCGAGCTGGTAGGGGTAGCGACCGACCTAATCGTCTGAGGCGGCCCCGAGATTCCAATACTTCCTCTCTCCTAGATACACCAGTCCCTCACTTAGACTCTCCCACCGCCATGCCTCAACAGGTAGAAGATGAACACCAGTTGGACCGTGCAAGGACGAAACGTCGAAAGCTTGACACAGATGATAATAGAGAAGGATTACAGGGCTTCCGCTACGGTCAATATGGCCAGGTGGTGCCTGGGGCACTCAGGATGGAGTTGACTAGCTGCGATGGGGGAAGATATGAGCCGCATGGCGAGAGCTCATGGCCAGAGAACATTCTTCGCAATGACGCTTCCGTATACTGTACGAAATCTGATCGCTGCAATCTTGTTCTGAAGCACCAGGGGGAGTCTCCGTTCTGCCTGAAGAAGATTGTAATCAAAGCGCCAAAATCAGGCTACAACTCCCCGTACGTTTCAGTTGGGCTAGATACTCTATCTCAGACTATCACTGACAATTTCAAAAGGATCCGGGAAGGCATGGTTTTCGTATCAATGTCATGTGATGAAGTCCTAGCCCGTACAGCTGCTTTCGAAGTGCAATGGGAATCAACTCGGCCCTTCGCGCGGCATTTACCCGGCGGAATGCAACCATCCCAGGAGTATCTAAATGCATATCGACCTCCGCTGCAAAGCTTAGGTCGGGGCCCGGTTATTGACCCCTCCTCGGATTCAGAATCAGATAGTACTGATGACCCCGGCGCTGTAGAACCTAGTGCTAGCAATGTGCCAGACCCCACGTCTGAATTTCGAGTCACAACCGAGTACAGTGCGCAGTCCGACGTACGTCATGATCGTCTTGACCATATGGACGACGACGACCTGATTTCTCTTACGGATACCGATAGCATGCCCATAGGGCGGATGGACGAGGACAACACAATATGCTCGGACAGTGAGATGAGCTTAAGCGACGATGATTCAAATGTCAGCACATTCACACGACGTCAGCGAGAGCTATCACGACGGATTCGAGCTATGCGTCGCCGCTATGTCGCAGAGCGAGAGGGCCAACCAAGGCGACGTCCATACCTAGCCATGCCAACACCAGGTCTGCGCCCTGAAGGCACACTTGGCTCAGAGTCTCCTCAACTAATGAAACCACATGCTCGCTTTTCCATTGAGCGCAATAAAAGCATGGTCAGCATCAAATTTGATCCACCTCCGTATGTTGCTTCCCACCATACTTCTCTCAATAGGTATACATCAACCCCTAACCATCCAATACAGCTCAGGACGATATATCCTCGTCAAGCTATGGAGTCCTCACAGCGGCAAAAACATAGACATCCAAAGCATCATCGCCTACGGCTACGCCGGGACCAGATTCTTCCCTGCTTTGAGTTTCAGGTAAACCAAACCAGTGGGATTTCTCCTTTTTCTCCTCCCCCCTCTTCCTTCTTCTGAACCAAATCATACCAGAATGTTCTCTGGGCCTGCTACTGTAGATTTCACTTGCATACAATAATACAGCAAACCAGCACAACTAGACGAATGCACATTGCGAAACCTCGGAACAGAACTGCACGGAATGAAACATAATGCTTGGTGTATATGGAGTATGGCGTCCATTGACTATCATCTCATGGTGTCTTTCTTAACTTTCTCTTTTTCTCTTTTCGAGTGCTCAAACCGGGCTGCTAACACGAACTCACCATCCCTGAAATTACTGGTCATTGCTTTATGCCTTCTCTCATCACCTCACATCACATGCTGAATTACTTCATGACCCATTAACCCAAGAACCTATTGCATGTCCTCATCTGACCATTCTCAAATGACAAAAGGACATCATATTATTATTCATTAGGTAGTAATTCATTCCAACGAAATGGAATGCCTAGAATGTACCCACTATCTATCTTACTATCACACCTGAGATCATATTTCAGAAATTGTAAATTTGAAAAAGAAATGGCTATTTATCACTCAATACATCAATCGTCAAAGGCCATGAACAGAAAAACACAGGAAGGAGGTCAAGATCACTCAATCCAGCAGAAGTAAAATACAAGCAAAGTCATCATCCAACGAAACCCAGACTAGCATTGCGCCCTTTTCCGCGTGGAGTAAATCACAGTAAGAAGGAAGGAAAGTGAGAGATCAGCTCTTGTATACTGAGCCGTCATGTGAAATGAGTGACAAGGGTGGGAAAGTGTGATTAGGCATGAAAGACCCTGTCTGGGGTAGATCAGAGTGTCATGATTTGAGAGAAACCAGGCCCAAGATGCTATTAACACATGGAACGGATATGCACGTATATCGAGTCCCATAGCAGAAGGACGACCGAATATGCCAGCCAAAAGCAGGTGGATATTTAGCAAGTTGGGGGTTTCCATAGACGTTGGTTGTCGTAATTAGCTGTTCCTGGAATGAACCAGGCCAGAACAATGAAAACGAGGGAAAGGTATTAAAATGAGCGTAGGAAAAGGAGGCGCCAGGAAGAATGGCATCCCGACGACAATAACCTGAGAATCGTCGGCAGACCGAAACATATGTACAAAGACGGGCCTCGGTCATCTGCAGCCACAGCGTGAAGTGAAACAAAATATGAAAATTTAGCAGGATCAACCCGCTATTAGATTTGTACGATCGTCAACCTGCACAGACAGCATTGCTGCAGGTCAACGTATCTCGAATCGATGCTGTCATTTCTCGTCTCTCGTGCAAAGATCGTCGAACGCCGAGCTTTCCTCTGAAATAGACGTAAATAGTGATCAAGCCAAATAGTACTCCGGGAAAAAAAGATCCAACTCCGCCCATAAGCAAAGAAAACGGGTTTTTTTTTCTTTCCAAGAACGAAATTCAAATGGATATGTGAAGGTAAATTATATGACGACGACATCTCCCTCAGCATCCGCTGGGTCAGAGACCATCATATCACCATATTTACCAACAGTCATGAGCATCGAATCATCGTCAAGGTCAATGGCGCTATCATCATTGTTGGGAGCCTGGAAACCAGTCATGCTATCGGAAACACCGCTAGGCTTCTCGTTTTCCAATGTGTTCTGGTTCGATTCGGCTTCCATCTGCGAGCGATGCATTGATGTCTGCGTTTGCGTAAGACTCTCCGCTGATGTTGGACTGGCGGCCGACCTTGTCCTCGAATGAGCGGCGTGTTGGGACTCATTCTTGTCCGGCACTGGGCAGTTAGACGGTTTCATGAGGAAGCTGGTTGGCCCCTGCTGGTTGGAGCTCAGGGTTGCGTAGTGCAAGGTGCTTGGGGTGTAACGCATAAATCCTCCTTTTTCGGCCTGCCATAGCATCATTTCATGGAAGAAAACCTTGGTCATCCACCAGGCGCTGAAACTCTGGGCGCCACCTAGAGTCAACCGTCGTAGTATGCAATCCCATAAAGCATCGACTTTCTCGATGATACACTGCGTACTGTGATGGGGGAATACGGAAGGTAGGTTGAGGATGAATGATATCCACTTGTCTGGAAAGTTGTAGTCATCTCCCGCAGCCGACTCCACGGGGTACTTGTGTGCCTGGATGTCTTCTTCGGTATCTGGCCGGGTGTAGAACGGGAGGGCAGCAGAAGGATTCATGTCCGCAACAGGAGTAAGCAAAGCCCGAACATCGTGCTTCAATACCAGTGCTGTTGCAAGTTCGGAACAGCGTGGGATATTCGCCTTCACGATCATCTCCTGGGGATCCACCAAGGTTTTGAAGTCGAACCACATCTGATTTCTGTTGTCGGGATGGCACAACCAAGCCGCAGCCGCGTTTGCAGATTGATTCACATCGAGCATGTGCTTCAGAAGGTTGCA